TCCAACACAAACACGCACTGGATAAAACCCGTGGCTTGTTGGTCTAGGGTTATGATTTCGGCTTAGATATTAAACTGTAAGTGGCAAATCATGTGTAACATGTGTTTACTGAGTAGAACCCGTGGCATGTTGTACATTGGATGCAACACAAATACGAAGTGGGTACAACCCGTGGCTGGTTTGTCTGGGGGTATGATTCCCGCTTTGGGTGCGGGAGGTCCCGGGTTCAAATGCCGGACGAGCCCTGACATTTCTTTAAATTCGGGTGCCTATTATTTACTACAATGTTGTACATTGGATCCAACACAAATACGCACTGGGTATAACCCGTGGCTCGTTGGTCTAGGGGTATAGGGGTTTATTGAGTAGACCGCGTGGCTCGTTGGTCTAGGGGTATGATTTCCGCTTAGGGTGCGGGAGGTCCCTTCAAACTCGAGCCCATATTATTTACTACTATGTTGTACATTGGATGCAACACAAACACGCACTGGGTAGAATATGTCGTTCGTTGGTCTAGGGGTATGATTCCCGCTTAGGGTGCGGGAGGTCCCGGGTTCAAATCGCGGACGAGCCCGGACTTTTCTTTAAATTCGAACACATATTATTTGCTACCATGTTGTGCATTGGATGCAACACAAACACGCACTGGGTAGAACATGTGGTTCGTTGGTCTAGGGGTGTGATTCCCGCTTTGCGTGGAGGAGGTCCCGTGTTCATATCCTGTGCGAGCCCGGGCATTTCTTTCAATTCGAGCACATATTATTTACTACATTGTTGTTATAAATATAATAATAATGTCGATTTGGTATAATCTAAGATTGGTCTTAATTCTTCACTTATTCACTTTTTCAAGAGTTATCTTCATAATCGCAAGCAGTTTGTCTTTCTTAATGGATTCTTGAGCAACATTGAAAATATTAGTTCAGGAGTTCCTCAGGGATCCATTCTTGGTCCACTATTATTTATTATTTTTATTAATGACATTTCTGATACTATTAACTGTCCACATTTATTATTTGCAGATGATCTGAAACTATATCTCAAAATAAATTCTATTGATGACTGCTTATTATTACAGTCTCAACTTGACCTTTTCCAATCTTGGTGTATCTATAACAAATTACATCTAAATATATCAAAGTGCAAGATTCTTAGTTTTACACATAAGCGCGTTCCAATACTTTTTGATTATAAAATTTCTAACACCAGCATTGATAGATGTAATAAAATTTCCGATTTAGGTGTTCTATTTGATTCTGGTTTGTTTTTCACAGATCATGTTACTGATATTTGTAATAGAGCACATCAATCTTTAGGTTTGATACTAAGAAATTGTAAACAATTTAAGTCTACCAATGCACTTCTTTGCATGTACTATTCTATTGTACGTTCAAAATTAGAATACGGTTCGATTATTTGGTATCCTCATCATATCAACAACTCTGATGCGATAGAGAAGGTTCAGCGAAAATTTCTGAAATACCTTTATTATAAAACATATAAAATTTACCCTGAACGTGGCTTTGACCACAACACTTTACTAAAAGAATTTGGTATTCCTTCCCTTGCCTCACGTCGATTTATCTGCACAATTATGTTCTTATTTAAGCTTTGCAATAATTCTATAGACTGTCCTCTTATTCTCAATCAACTATCCTTTAATGTTCCAAGGCTATCTTCGCGTTCACAATTATTTTTCAATTATCCCACCCCTAAATCTAATTCTCTCTTAAATTCGCCAATTTTACTAAAGTCCTCTGACTTTAACTTAATTAATAATGAAATAGACATTCACAACACATCACCTAATCAAATAATCTCCATCTGCACAAGTTAATCTTTTTATTTTCTTTCAAATATCTCATTATTTTCTGTTTATAAATATTATTGTTACATTCTGCATTATATGAAATTTTATCTTAGCATTTTATGTTACTAACTATATATTGTAATTTTGTGTATATTTTAATTGTTATTCATTATGTCAAATAATTGTATTTTTGAGTCCTGTTGGAGAAATCTGTGGGCTATATATTTAAATAAATAAATAAATAAATAAATAATATTGATTCTACCCATATTGAAACTTTCTTTTAATTTTGACAAATTGCAACAGAAAGAACCCGGATCAACTGCTTGGAAAGCAACTATGCTGACCATTACACCACCGACGCCTAACATATTGCATTCAATTATGGTGTAATAACTTATAGTTGTAACTTATTAAGTTGATAAAGTTTATTGTGATTCTCTGTATGTAGACAGCAAAATTCCAAGACATGACAAATAATTTCTTAAAATTTTCATTTTATCCATACTGAAACTTTTTTTTAATTTTGACTAATTGCAACAGAAAAGTAATAAACATATTTGTTTCGGCCGGGAATCGAACCCGGATCAACTGCTTGGAAGGCAACTATGCTGACCATTACACCACCGACGCCTAACATATTGCATTCAATTATGGTGTAATAACTTATAGTTGTAACTTATTGAGGTGATAAAGTTTATTGTGAGTTTTTGTATGTAGACAGCAAAATGCCATGACATGACAAATAATTTCTTAAAATTTTCATTTTACCCATATTGTAACTTTCTTTTAATATTGACAAATTGCAACACGAAAGTAATAAACGTGATTGCGTCGGCCGGGAATCGAAGCCGGATCAACTGCTTGGAAGGCAACTATGCTGACCATTACACCACCGACGCCTAGCATTTTGCACTCAATTATGGTGTAATAACTTATAGTTGTAACTTATTAAGTTGATAAAGTTTATTGTGAGTTTTTGTATGTAGACAGCAAAATGCCAAGACATGACAAATCATTTCTTAAAATAATGTGTATATTTTCGAACATCTCTTGTGGGTATTCAGCCGACGAAATTTAGACAAAAATTGCAACGCGTGAACGGCTATAGTTAATTACCAATTTCCAAACTGGACTATACAATATATGGTCATTACATAAATTAGTTTTACTAAACATTCTTTGTGGGGATCGAACCCACGACCTTTGGATTAGAAGTCCAACGCGCTATCCGCTGCGCCAAAGGGACCACAGCCTCAAAAAACTTTTGTTTGCATTGATTCTTAATTATTATATCTGATATTGATGATGAAAAAAAGTTACAGATATGTGTTATTTATTGGGTGTAAGAATAATTGTTGTTTATACCCGTTATTGTTTGATGATTATAAATATTGTTTATCCTATATATCATTTATTCCTACTCTTATCAATAGCACGACAAGGGCCTCCGTGGCACAATTGGCTAGCGCGCTCGGCTGTTAACCGAAAGGTTGATGGTTCGAGCCCACCCTGGGGCGTATAGTAGTTATTATTCATACCCTGGAATATTAAAAGAATATTTTTTATACCCAATAGTATTTAATGATTATATTGTTCATCACATTGTTACGAATGTGTGAGCACCCACATAACTACATAACTACCACTTTCAGTCATCAGGTAGTCGTGATCGAGGGTGTGCGTTGCCTGCATGGCCTCAAAGTCGGCAAACGTGCGGTCCAGCGCACGAAAGGGTTAATAAAATGTTTTTAATGTAAGCCTAGAGGACGTCATAAGGGGACAGCGTTTCGGAAGCTATCCCCCGAACCGAAAATAGACTTTGTATAGTTTGTATAGTTTATAGGAGTGAAGTAAATGTTAACTATTTGTGTGTGAAGTGAATAGGGCCCGATGTATGGACAGATATTGGACACTGGTTGCGCCGTGGGTTACAGATTAGTATAGATATAGGTTGCATGTCAGAATAAGCAATGTATTAGGATAAGTGATTATTGAATGTAAATATAGGTTAGTTAATTAAGTAACGAACAAACGCCTTTTCATTAGTAATATTTAAAGTAACTAGTCTCTTACAGGATTGCGACGTCACGGTAAGGTTGTAGAAAGACCGCGAATGTACACAATAATAATAAATTAGAGCATGACTAAAGGAGTATAGTAAATAAATAAAAGGATATTCATGACAAATAAAAAGGGGTCCATGATAATACATATAGTTCACCCCTACTATTATCAGCATTACGACAAGGGTCGACGAGGAAAAATATTTATTATTTATACCCTAGTATATTCAATGAAAATTGTTTATATCTAATAGAATTTAATGATTTTATTGTTCATCATATATATAGTTTATCCCTAGTATTATAAGCATTATGACAAGGGCCTACTGTAATTATTGTTTGTGCTATATATAATTTACTCTTATTATTATCAACAGCACAACAAGAGTCTCCGTGGCGCAATTGGCGTTGGTGGTTCGAGCCCACCCGGAGGCGTAAAATAGTTATTATTTATACTCTGGAATATTCAATGCATATTGTTTATACCCAATAGTATTTGAGGATTATATTATTCATCATATATGTAGTTTACACGAGCCCGGACATTTCTTTAAATTTGAGAACATATTATTTACTACAGTATTATATATTGGATCAAGAACATATTATTTACAACAATGTTGTACATTGGTTCCAACACAAACACGCACTGGATAAAACCCGTGGCTTGTTGGTCTAGGGTTATGATTTCGGCTTAGATATTAAACGTAAGTGGTAAAGTGGCACCACCGATGCCTAGCATTTTGCACTCAATTATGGTGTAATAACTTATAGTTGTAACTTATTAAGTTGATAAAGTTTATTGTGAGTTTTTGTATGTAGACTGCAAACTTTTGTTTGCATTGATTATTAATTATTATATCTGATATTGATGATGAAAAAAAGTTACAGATATGTGGTATTTATTGGGTATAAGAATAATTGTTGTTTATACCAGTTATTGTTTGATGATTATAAATATTGTTTATGCTATATATCATTTATTCCTACTATTATCAATAGCACGACAAGAGTCTCCGTGGCGCAATTGGCTAGCGCGCTCGGCTGTTAACCGGTTGGTAGTTCGAGCCCACCCGGGGGCGTATTGTAGTTATTGATATCTACACGCACTGGGTGGAATATGTCGCTTGTTAGTCTAGGGGTATGATATCCGCTTCGGGTACGGGAGGTCCCGGGTTCAAATCCCGGATGAGCCCGGACATTTCTTTAAATTCGAATACCTATTATTTAATACGATCTTTTATATTGGATCGTTGGTCTGGGGGTATGATTTCTGCTTAAGGTGCGGGATGTCCCAGGTTCAAATCCTCTAGGGGTATCATTTTGGCTTAGATAATAAACGTAAGTGGCAAATCGTGTGTGAAATGTGTTTATTGAGTATACCGCGTGGCTCGTTGGTCTAGGGGTATGATTTCCGCTTAGGATGCGGGAGGTCCCGGGTTCAAATATTATTTACTACAATGTTGTGCATTGGATGCAAGACAAAATCATTAAAAAATTTGCAAGAATTGCTGATCCTCTGATATTAGTGCTGAGGAAGGATAAAGCTTGGAATTGGGGTGAAATGAAAGGTAAATCATTCAATCTTTTGAAGAAGGTTTTTTTAAATGCACCAATATTGTAATGTCCGGATTTTAATAAACCTTTTATACCTAAAAATAATAATTATTGTTTTTTTTAAATTACTCTTTACATCAAATTGCATATACAGTAGAACCTTGATTAACCGGACTAATTGTTGTCAATGGGCATTCGGATAATCGAAAATCCGGATTATTGAATGTATGAAGAATAATGTTGTGTTTTTATTGAAAGTAACAATTCTATACATAGATATCAACAAAAATCAACGTTTATTAAGAAATTAATACTTCCTTATGTTCGTACAAACATATTTTCTTCGATTACACTACTTACAGATATTAAATTGCAGCATTAATCATGCTATAATATAATCATGACAGACAACCGAGGTCCGGATAATCGAGATACTACTGTACATCAATATGAGTGATGATAAATGTAGAACTGCTTTAAATAAAATGATGAGGGTCAATTCCCACACTAAATTGAAGTCTTTTAAACGGTATAACAAATTCATAAAAAATTAATATATAGTATCCGCGGTAAAAGTACAATATTACCTTGGACTTTTCCACCAAAAACAATTGCTCCAATAATGTTGCCTATGATTTTTATAATCTTGTACTATATTTTAACTGCTTTTTAGTAATTATTATATCTAAATTTCATTTTTCTTAGTAATAATTTAATATACATTATTACCAGGGACATTCCTGGGGTCCTCAGCGCCCGCAGGCCATTTTTTTTCTAGGTGGCACTTTTCATTTGTTTTCAATGCCAAACAATGTCTCAAATATTTTCAATGCCAAACAATTTTCAAACGATTTATTTTGCAATTTTTCCATTTTTTTCTACAATATTACTAAACTTTTATAATCACATACATCTTAATTTTCTTAACAAACTTCAAAAAGATTTATCAAAATCCGAGTAATTCGAGTTTAGGAGGATTATATTTACTTACATCATTGCAGAAGAATTTTATATATAAAGATATTCAACTGTCCTGAGCAATTATAAACAATATTTGTTTAAATTGCAACAAAAAAGTGTTCATTTATAAAATTATCGAGGCTATAAACAAGATATTTCAAAAACACCTTGTTTTGTTGTTGGTGACCCAAAAATGTTAGTATATAATGAGAAATTAATTTGAACAATCAGTAGAAGAATCCCGAACATATTACATGTTATAACATCCAGTAAATTATTTGTAAGGTTGTAAAGTACAAAGTTTTATCAAATAAAGTGGTTGGAGGAAGACTCTATCTTTCATTTGCTACCATAAAAGTCTTCCAGCCTATACTTTGGGATTATCCAGCTCTGAAGAGACAATAATTCAAACCAGTGCCCGCTCTAGTCATCTACACCAGTGGCAGGTCAATCTTGGGTTGCTAGGCTTCATTCCTACACCGCTAGAAAAAAACAGAATCGACCATGAAACTGGTGACTGCGGTGCGATTCCGACATACTCGACATCCCGGAAACACGAAGGATACAGGTGGCGGCAAATCCAACAAGAGCTGGTTGATAACACACCAGGATTTTACTCACTCAAGTGTGACAATTTTTTCTTTTTCTCTGAAGACCATGGCGAATCCTGCAAGGAGATCCACATTTGAAGAGCAGATACGTACATTTAGATTAGAAGTAGAGGATACCAAAGTCGATTCTGTAGTTTTAAATTCAGCTATGAACTTAAAACCTAAGTTTGATGGAAAACCATCAGAATGAAATAAGTATATTTATATATATATATATATATATATATATATATATATATAGCAACAGGCTCGCAACTTTTAAAAATAGCTTTAACAAAATTAGAGGGTTAGGCTTTTAATTATATCAGGTATTCGGATAATTTATTGTGAGACGAAGTTAAAGATTGCCGTCCCATTCCGGAATTACAGTTAGAACTTGCCAATATGAGACAATTGCCAGGTGAAACGGCAAGAAGTTATTCAGGGAAAATTGAAAAAATCCTTGGGTTAATGTATGACCAATTAAGAACAAGTGATAAAACATCGTTTATAGTAGGGAATGCAATACCGATGAAAAATTTCAATACCGGTATTTCGGTAATTTGTCATTTTAAATCGGAATACCGGTAAATTACGGGTATTTTTATTATCTTAAACAGACGTTAACAAAATTGAAAGTTACTAATACAAATATAAAAAAATGTATATACAACTACAACTATATTCAACTAAACTATAAAAACAATAAAATAGAACAATAAGTTTATTTTTTTAAATAATAATTTAACAAAATTATATCAAATTTAATTCATTATCACTAACGAGTATATTGAGTACTTTTCACCAAAAACAAACTTATGAGTAGGAAAGACCAAAAACTCATAAAAGATCATATTACATTATTATAATAAACTGTATTGTCTGTATCGTGTATCCGATTTGTTAAATTATCTCTGCTAAATAATCTCCAATATTTAAAAAAAATTCTACACTAATTTAAGATCGGATACTTTGTCAAGATAAATAATAAGTTACTATAATTGTTGAGCATTGTTATTTAAAACAATGTGATGGTTCTATAGTATTTTCAAACTTCAAAACATTTTCGAAAGATAATATTTTATAATTGTAATAAGAAGCAAAAATATTTAGTAATTATCATAATTATTATGTATAAGGTTAGAAAAAAAATAAAGATTACGCAGAGGTAATCTGTATGATATAAAATATTTTGGCGCAAATATCACTTAAAAAACCGTTACATTTTTACATAAGATGAAACAAACATCATTATCTATCAGTCCAATTCTATTTATTGTAACACGATATGAAGCCCTTAGTAAAGCAATAAATATTCAGGTTAATGACTAGTTGAGATAATATTTGACATTTGTTTATCCTGTAGAATCACTTGAAGGTATAGCTGTTCATGCGATTATGGAATTTAAAGATAAATTCGTTCCGAGAAATTTAAACTTTTGGGTATTATGTATCAAATAGCGCTTATGTAAAATTACCGAAAATATCGGTATTTTTGGGGTAAATACCGCTAAAAATTCCGCTGAAAAATCGGGCGGTTTACCGGAAGTGGGGGGTTACCACCCCTTAATAAATAAGTGGACATTGAGCCGTTTGATCGCTAGAAAACGTTTTTAATATTAAAGAATATAACATTGCTCGAAATATGTACAAAATATCGAAATTCGATAAAAATGTGATTAGTTTTTGGGTCATAACTCCTTTATTTTCGACTCCATCACAATTAGCAATATACCATTTGAAAGGTTAAGAAATGGGCTACAACCTTTTTTATCATAATTTTTTTCGTAACTCCCCTCATTTTGAAACGGCGAACGGTTAACGAGCTTGAGAAAGACTCTGATTGCGCGGCCGCGCACTCTTTAAACCATCGTAACACTGTCAATTTTTGCGTGAAAGAAAAATAATATAATAATAAACAATAATAAGCCAGAAAGATTCTTTTGATTTTTATCTATATGCTTTTATACGTATCTTTTATTCTTTTTGAGATATAATGAAAATGAGTTCGATTTTTAAAAAAATCGGAATTTTTTTTTTATAAAATTGTGAGTTTTCTGAATATAGTTTATACTAAAGTAGTGAATCTGTTAGAATCCATCAAGATGTCTATAATAAAGTGAATTCTAGATGGAATGTGAATTACTTTAATTCTGGTGGAAATGGCGCTCATTAAACCATACGATTTAAAAGAAAAAAATATCTGATGCTTCTTATTTGCATGATAGCTCACTCATTTTACACACAAAAAACTTGTAACAGCACTCATTTTAAAGCTTATGTTGAACACTATAAAACCCAATTTCACAGGAATGCATAAAATGTAAAAGCTCGCCACTAGATGGCTTTAAATACAACAATTAAATCTTTAACGAAATAAAAAACGACTTTGCTCTTTCAAATCATGCTTAATATTATTCCTAGAACACTTTATAAAACACCAATTTATTAAGATTTTTATTGAAATTATTTTGTTCATTACATGATTTTCGCTAAAATATATATTTTAGGAGATAGTTGCAAAAAAACGAAAAAAAACGCCAAAAATATATGCATTTTTAGAGGCCAGTAACTTGAAAAGTATTAGTTTTTTTGAAAAACTCTAAAAGACATTTTTTTCTCATAATTAGTTCTTCTATCGATTTTGAAAAAATGTAATTACACAATTGAGAAGGGGTGTCATTCTCCCGGGGGATGGTGGCGGAACCCGAATTGTTTTCACAAAAAAATTCAGACCCAAAACGCTCCGTTTACTGCACTATTAGTTTATTACAATCCGCACACAATTAGTTAGCTTTGACAGTATTTATAAATGGCTTTAAACCCGAACTCAGACTATTAGTTAAAGCAGCCAGACACGATCACCTAGAGGATGCTGTACATATGGCTATACAGGAGAAACAGAATTTAGGTAGGACTAGACATTACCCCAGTGGAAACACAAAACCACTAACAACATATTCCACATAGAAGAAACATGGAATTCCATTTTGCAAAAGATGCAAGGTCCCGTTGACGGCCAAGAGCAAGCAGCCGCGTTGTGTAATGACAAACGATCTGCGCTATCAAATTTTAAGCATAAACAGAGT